CTTTCCTCTTCAAATCACATTGCATTCTTTTGTCTGGTAAAAATTTTTTTCATTGCCTCTCTCCTACCCCCAAAATATAAGTCCTCTGAGGTCAGGTACTGTTTGATTTTTCTCTTTATAAATCCAATACCTAACACAGTTCTTTGCATGTGCTTAAAAATATTTAGTTTGATTGAATGGACTTAAATTTAGGCAAAACAACTGCAATTCCACTGGAATATTTGGCAGTATTGCTCCATTTGGGGATGCCCAGATCCCTACTTAAAGGTCATTCTGCTACAAACATGCTTTTGAAGAAGGTGGAGAGAATCACACAACCATTCTGACTGGGGCTGTTACAAATTTATGTTATACCTGGCTCTCACTACTGCTAAACAATCCTTCTATATCTAACTTACCAACCTACTCTTCCACTCTCCACAGTGGCTCTTCCAAACCTTTTCATCTTCCCTCAAATCTCCTATGATTCCCCCTCTTCTGACCTTTCAGAAAAGAAACTTGACTCATTTTACAGAAAAAATGGAGGTCATTCACCATGAGCTCCCTCTTCTCCCCTCTTTCTCAACTTGTAACTCTTAGATGCCTTCTGTCACTATGCCCTCCTTCACCCATCTCACTTGAAGAGTGGCCTTGCTCCTTACCAAGACAAATCCTTTTACCTGCACAAGCAACCCCATACCTTTCTATCTCCTCCAACAGATTACCCCTTCTGTCATCCCTACATTATCACTTATCTTCAATTTCTCCCTACCTACTGTCTCCTTACTTGTCTACAAACATGCCCATGCCTTCCCCATCCTCACAAAAATGCTCACTTGATCCTTCCATCCTTGCTAACTAACATCCTCTATTTCTTCTGCCCTTTGTGGCTAATCTCCTAGAGAAGATGATCTATGATGGGTGCCACCACTTCCTCTCCTCTTGCTCTCTTCTTAACTCCTTACAATCTGGCTTCTGGCTTCATCATTCCATTGCTACTGCTCTCCAGTTACCAGTGATCTCTTAATTGCCCAATCCAATGGCGTCTTCTCAATCCTCATTCTTCTTGACCTCTCTGTAGCCTTTGACCCTGTTGATCCCTCTCTTCTCCCTATTAGTCTCTTCTCTCTAGGTTTTCAGGACACCACTCTCTCTTGGTTTTTCTCCTATCTGACTCCTCCTTCTCAGTCTCTTTGTTGAATCCTAATCCAGATCATGCTCTCGAACCATAGACATCCCATGAGATTCTGTCCTGAGCCCTCTTCTCTTCTCCTTCTAGACTACTTCACTTGGTAGTTTAATCAGCTCTCATGGATTTAATTAGCATCTCTGCTGATGATTCTCAATAATATCCTCTCTACTGACCTCTATTCTCTCATCTTCGACTGAAAGTGCAATAGACACCTCAAACTTAATATGTCTAAAATTTAGCTTATTATCTTTCCCCCTAAACTCTCCCTGCCTCCTACCTTACCTATTGCTTTAGAAGGCAACACCATACTCTGAGTCCCATAGGCTTACAACCTGGGTATCATCCTCAATTCTTTATTTTCTCTTCTCCCGCCACATACACTCTATTGCCAAGGCTTACTGATTTCACCTTTATAACATCTCTCAAATATACCTCAAATTCTCAAATTCTCTCCTACGATAGTCACCACTTTGGTTCAGGCCATTTTCACTTCATGCCTGGATTATTGCAGTAGCCTGCAGGTAAATCTGCCTGCCTCAAGTCTCTCCCCACTTTCATCCATCATCCATTCAGCCACCAAAAGTGTAGGTTCAGACATGTCACCCCCACCTACTTAATAAACTCCAGTGGTTCCCTGTCACCTCCAGGATCAAATACAAAATCCTCTGCTTGGTATTCAAATCCCTTCATAAACTTGCCCTACCCTCGATCTTTCCAGTCCTCTATACTTACTTCCCAACATATATGCTTTAATTCAGTCACATTGGCCTCCTGGCAATCCCATGAATGAGATCCTCCATCCCTCAGCTCAGGGCATATTCTCTGACGGTCCCTCGTGCCTAGAATGTTCTCCTTCTTCTTCCCTCTTTTCCATCTCCTGGCTTTCTTCAAATTCCAACTTAGACTTCATCTTCTATAGGAAGCGTTTCCATATAGTTTATATGTGTTTATATATATTTACATTTGTTTGTTTATTGTCTCCCCCATTAGATTGTGAGCCCCTTGATGGCAGGGGCTGTCTTTTGCCTATTTTTGTATCGATGGAATTTAACACAGTATCTGGCACATAGTAGTGCTTAATAAATGTTTATTGACTGACTGACTGACTGGATGACAGAACTCAATCCTCTACACCATGCTGCCTTTCTCTGAAAGCGTGACTAAGAAAGCAGATTAAAAAATTTTTTTAGATTCTCTAGGAATAATAAGAAATTCTACAACTCCAGCCTAAAATCCTTTCCAGCCTTTCCCTTTAGGTACATGGGAAAAAGAAAAGCTAATGCTTTCCTCTGAAATGGAATAAAAGTGACAACCAAATTTTTAACTCTTTTCTAGATAACCCATTTTCTCTCCAACCATCTGAAGTGATTTGGCTTTTACCTTCCAAAGGGTAGTGTCCCCCTTTATAGTCACAGGTAAGACATTAATTAGAGAAAGGAACTCTTCCATCCTTAAGGGGAGTAAGGTAACTTCTGGAATATTAACTCCAAACTATGTATTAAAATATTATGATCTTTTCTTTGTTCAAAGTTCCTATAAATATTACCTCAAATCATCTTGGGACAGAGAATCATATCAGAGATCATAGGGGATGTTATGTTATGTTAAATAAAATTGTTTCTAGCAGATAAGTCTAAACCACAGGGTACAGTTGTAGTTATATTTTGTCTTCAACACCATGTTAGTATGCCATCATCACCCTAAGCTACCCAACATGTTCTCCAGAATCTTCTCCAGTAAGTGCTATGTGACCTTTCCGATAAAGTTCTCTTCTGATGACTCACTGTCCTCATAGAGGTAATTTTGGGTTCTTGAAGATGAAAAGGTGCTGACAACTCCTATCAGTTTTCTAATCTATAAAATGGGGATGCTAATATCTACTTCTCAGGTGGTTTTGAGACTCAAATTAGATAATGTCTACAAAGGACTTTGCAAACTTTAAAAGCACTATATAAATATCAGTTACAATTATCAAGTTGGAGATTAAAAAAAAAAAACACATGTATGGCAACAGATCTTGTATGCCTGTTATCTGGAGGCACAGCAGATGGTATCATCTGCTGCAGTGGATACTGTGTTGGGCCTAGAATCAGGAAGACCCTAGTTCAAATTAGGTCTCAGACAATGACTAGCTAGCTGTGTGATGTGGGTAAGCCATTTAACCTGTCTCTTTCAGTTTCCTCAATTGTACAATGGGGATAATAATAGCACCTATATCCATTAAGGCACAGAGGAGACAATGACCTGTACAGATGAAGGAAAATTTATACTGATGAAGGTTCAGAAAACAAAAAGTCTTGAGGAGGAAAACTTTGAGCCTGCAGTACAAAGTTTTATTACTGTTGTTGAGTCATTTCAAACTCTCCGTGTTCCTATTCATGGTTTTCTTTGCAAAGATACTGGAGTGGTTTGTCATGTTCTTTTCCAGCTCATTTTACAGATGAGGAACTGAGGCAAACAACAGGGTCACAGAGCTAGTAAGTATCTAAGGCCATATTTGAACTCAGGTTCTCCTGACTTCAGGGCTGGCTCTCTATCCATAGTGCTACCTCACTGCCCTATGGTACAAAGGAGATAAGACAAATTCAGAAAAGATGTATTGGGCTTTCAACATCATAGAATTCAGAGTTGATGTCACAGGAAATAGATAGGAAGCGAAAGATCAGAGTTAGAAGGAACTCTGAAGATCATCTAGTCCATTGATGTCAAACTCAAATAGAAATGAGGGCCATTAACCCAACCACATCCTTGCGGGCTGCATATTGACTTGGTTTTAAAATGTAATGTTGTCTGTCTTTAATGCATTTTTCTTTATTTTGATAAATATTTCCCAATTATATTTTAATCTGGTTTGGTTTCACTCCCAAAGTGTTGCCCCCCCAGTTGGTGGTGTGTTTCACGTCTCATTCCCTCATTTTACAGATGAAGAAGCTGAGGCCCAGGGAGGTCAAGTGATTTGGCCCACATTACACAGGGAACAGGTGCAGTTCTATCTCAGGTCCTTAACTTCAAATGTAGTACTCTTCTCTCTTACCATGCTGCTGATTTATGTGCCATCCTAAGTACAGTAGGACCTACTAACAAAGGTTAGTAAGATAAAGTTCCTGCCTGTAAGGAGTTCCTGTTGATTTGTGGAAGACAAGTTTGCATACATGAAACAATAAGAGAATTGTGTAAGATGGGGGGGGGAACCTGCCTTGGTTTGTGTGATACTGAAAATAACTGTAGGATTTCAGGGAAGTCAAAGATTACACCAGTCTGGGAAATTTTCATGGAGAAGGTGAAAAGAGCCTGGTATGTAAAGATAAAGATAGATAGGCAGATGTTGGAAAGTGGGAGAGAAGGGGGAAGTAACACAGGTGGTGATCAGCATGGCATCGTATGCAGTCAGGTGACCACCTGTTGAGTGGTGAAATAGGGTTCTCTGTTCTCAAAGGAACCCAGCTCTCCTCCTGAATGCTTCTATGGGTCTTTGGCAAGTCACTTAAATTCCTCAGGCCTCGGTTTTCCCATCTGTAAAATGAAGGTTCTGGATCTTTAAGGACCCTTCCAGTTCTTATCCTTCATCTCTTACTTGCGATCCTGGGATTCTAGGCTCTAGCAGGTGTCACCTTCCCCTAAGACCCGTGCTTTCTTAGGCCCCGCCCCTGGTCCGAAGAGATCTGGCGGGGAGCCCCGCCCACGTCTCTGCGGTTTCCCTAGTGACCGCTCTTGGCGTCCCCCCTCCCTTCCCGCACCCTTTCATTCTCAGGGCATCCCTCCGCCTGGGGCTGGCGAGAGGCGAGGGTTGCGGTGACTTGGGCTGCGGAAGAAGCTGGAAGAGGGGGCAGCAGCACGTCCCGGGGCTGTCGCCGCCGCCCCAGGAGGAGGAGGAGCTGGAGCAGGAGGAGGGAAGAAAGAAAAACCTTGGCTTCTTCTGGCCCCCCAGACAGCCAGGCTGAGGTTCGTGGACCGGGAGCGGGGATACCTGGGTGGAGGCGGGAGAGAGGGCCACCTAGCCCCCTCACCCCCCATTCACCCGTCTCGGACCCCCGCCTGGCCCAGGGAGGGGGCGCGGGAGGGAGGACCCCTCAGGAAGAGGAGCAGTTGGGCTGAGCCAAGAACCGGGACTTGGTCCCCACCCCACTATTTGAGGGTGCAGGCTGGGTGGGGTTGCGGCTGGGTATTTATTTATCACCAGCCCAGAGTCATTTTCAGCCTGCCCTCCCCCACCCCCCACCCCCAGCCTGCCAGCTCTGAGAATCCCGCCAGCTAAGCTGAGTAGCGGAGCCTTCCAGAGGCTAAATTAAAAGAAGCAAACCCCCCTTCCCACCCCCACACTACATACCCGGTGAGCACTCTCAGTTAATAATGATGATGATGATGATGATGATAGTAATAAATTAATCCAGACTTGAAAGTCAGAGGAGAGGGAAAGAAGAAAACTGAGAATCCTAGCTGTATGTGTGTGTGTATGCATGCATGTATATATGTATATACTCACATACATACATACATACTTATGTTTACCAGCTATCTATCTATATGGATATAAACGTAGGTATATATATTCACAAATATGTATATATGTATTATATTCCCACACACACATATAATCCACATATAGGTATACAGATATAGATATATACACATATGTGTACTTACATAATATTCCATATATCCTACATATGTCTATTCTACACACAGATAAGTATGTATAGATATATACACACATATATGTGTATTATCTATTTATATTGCATATATATTTCCACATACATATCTATTCCACACACAGATATAGATAATTCCATTTTTTAATAGCTCCAAATGTTAGTTTTCCTTACCTCAAGCCTAAATATGCTTCTTTTCATTCTTGCTTCCATTCTCTTTCCTGCCAAACAGAAGATAGACAAATAGACAGACAGATAGATAGATAATATATCTAAATATAGATCCATATATAGATATAGATACTAGATATTTATCATCTATCCATCCATGCTTTATCTATCTATCCATCCATCCATCCATCCATCCATCCATCTATCCATCTATCATCTATCTATCTATCTATCTATCTATCTATCTATCTATCTATCTATCTATCTATCTATCTATCTTAACCATAGTGTTGAAATCTTAGCTGAGTCACCTTGCTTGTTGGTTCCTACCTGTAATACCCATAATATGTAGAAAACTGGGAATACTCATGAGTCAGGGGTCCTAAAGAATAAGCTCCAAAGCTCAGGTAGGTCTTAACCAAAAAAAGCCACAGACACAATGCAAAATGTGGGAGAAGTTTTTGTTTGTTTTATTTTTTGATGGGGGAGAGGTAATTCACTGAATTAAAGATATGGTCCTGGAGTAGCTTTCATTTTTTAAAAAATATTCAAGAAATTTTAGCTCTTACTGCACATATAAAAATGTATATGTTCTAAAAGTTGACCTTAACCATCTTTTTTTTTTTGGCAAGGCAAATGGTGTTAAGTGACTTGCCCAGAGTCACACAGCTAGTGAGTGTTTTGCGTCTGATGCTAGATTTGAACTCAGGTCCTCTTGATTCAAGGACCAGTGCTCTTGCCACTGCGTCACCTAGCTGTACCCTCTCTTCTTCTTTCTTTCATTATTACTGTTTGTTTTCTTGATTTTGCATTTGGAAGTCCATAAGACCGGAGATACATCTGGCCTAACCTTAAAATGTAAGTTAAGTTGAGCTTTCTAAGCTCTTTCCGTAGTTATTATCTCCTATCATATGTATATACATATATATACATATATATGTATATACATATATATATACATATATATGTATATACATATATATGTATATACATATATACATATATATGTATATACATATATATACATATATATGTATATATGTATATATATATTTAATGTAATAAAAAATTTTCATTAACAGGATTGCACACCCATCCCAAATAATTCAAAATTATAAAAAGGATATAACTGTTTCAGTGACTACCATTATTCCATAATTCTGGCAAAATGGAACTTTCTGACTTTTTAAGAACAAATCTTAATATACTTCATTTACTCTTAGTTAAAATGATATTGAAATTACATCTTTCCTTATAGATGTTCGTGGTAACTTGTGACATTGGTATGAAAATTTAAGTGATCGTTAATTGCTGGAATAATTAAGTTGTACTATGTTGCAGTCAAACACTTAGAGTTCTCTTGAATCCACTTTGTTGTTATTCAGTGATTTTTCGGTCATGTCCGACTCTTTGTGACCCCGTTTAGGGTTTTCTTGACAAAGATACTGGAGTGGGTTGCCATTTCCTTCTCTAGCTCATTTTACAGATGAGGAAACTGAGGCAAACAGGGTTAAGTGACTTGCCCTACATCATACAGCTACTAAGTGTCTGAGAACAAATTTGAACTCAGGAAGAAAAATCTTCCTGACTCCAGGCCCAGAGCTCTATCCACTGTACCACCTAGCTACCCAGTCCACTAGCAGCCGAATAATTCATTCATCATTCAACTAAAGTTTATAGAGGACCTAGGATGTACAAGGAATTTATACACTATTTAATGCTTTGCAGTAACATTCTTAAAGCTTTTTAAAGAGTTAGAGTTAGGCAGTAGTGTCCATCTGATGTCTCTGACAGAGAAGCAGTCATAACTACTCAAGCATCCCTCCTAAAGTGCTAGATCCCCCCTCCCCACCCCAGCCACACCCCTCGATCATGGTTCAGGATGAGGGTGGGCAGGAGGGATCCCCTTTGAAGAATTTTACTGGGGGGCCGCAATTTAAACTTATACCCCAGGAAGCATTCAGTCTTACCTAGCACTCTCAAACCTTTCATCCTGTACTTTTGCATTCTCATTTGTCTGTGCTAGTGAGGGCCAACTACCAGAGACAGTAACTGTGATACACAGTCAACCAGGAGATCAAAGGCTCCACCAAATTTCTTCTGAATACCAACAATAGAAAGGCTTTAGGCAACTCTTTGATCTTTGGCTCAGCAGGCCCTTCAAACCATATGTAGCACCTCCCATAAGCTAGCACCCTGGGTGATGCCCCCTCTCTGCCTTCTACTCAGAATGTTCCCAGTACTTCTCAAAGACACTAAACTTCTGGTATGATGCTTCTTTCTGTGCCCTCTGTAGCTGGCAACTGGAGAAGATCCCCATCAACTCTCTTCTCTCTCGTTTTCCCTCTCTTCAGTCCCACCCCCTGGGCCTCTTTCCATCTAGGTTTTAGGAGTAGAATTCGTAACCAGGACATTCATGACTGCAGGATAGGTGACCAGAGGCCTATGTCATAATCACAGAATCCCACTGGACTCAATCTTTGATGTTGCCTCTAGCTCTGAGTTATCTGGAGGGTTTGGGAGTATAGCCTGACCAAGCCAGGCTTGGGGAGAATAACTTAGTTCAATGTGAAAAAATGAAGGCTTTCTAAACTCCATCAATGTCAGGCCTACAATGGTGAAACCTCATTCCAGGCAAAATAGACAACAGTGGTAACTGTTCCTGTTAATGATGCTCAAAACGGGTGTTAGCTTCCCCACGATTCTGGACTCCTAAATTGTAATACAAGTATGTGTCACTTTAATTAAGCATAGAAGAATATCAGAGGGGGCATGGAAGCCATCTAGTTCAGTTCCACCAATTGCCAAGAACGGATTCCCTCTCCCACCCTGACATGAATATCTGTAAATTAGATGCACTGTATGATTTATCCACATGCCTGGTGAGTGGTTAGCCAGCCTGTGCTCAAACACTGCCAGTGATGTTAAAGCCACTACCTCCTGAGGCAGCTCATTCTGCCTCTGAATAGCTCCAATTGTTGAAGAGTTTTTCCTTACCTTAAGCCAAAATTGGCCTCTTTTCAACTTCTGTTCTCTCTCTTGCCAAACAGAATAAGTCTATTCCCTCTTCCATATAACAGTCTTTCACATTCTTTAAAAAAAATTAACTATCACTCCCCACCTCTTAAGTCGTTTTCTCCAGACTGAATATCACCAGTCCTTTGAGGGATCATTTTATGTCCTAATCTCAAAACCATTCACCAATTTAATTGTCCTTCTTGGGATGCTTTCCAGCTAATCAATTTGCTTCCTAAAATGGAGTACCCAAATTACTAACTCAGACAATATTTATGTGTACTGAAATCTGTTCTGCCGCCTCGTCTTGGTATGAAGGTGACTCATTTCTTGACCACCATGCCAGCTGAATGTACCAACAATGGTGGGATAGCATTAAGCAAAGGCCTGAAAGTCGATTGTGCTTGTGATGCAGCTGAGGACCAGCCTGTCTAAACGTAGAGAGGTTCATCACAACCATGTTGACCACAAGATGACCACAGCAACCCATGAAACTGTCGATTAAGGCATGAAAAGCTTACAAAATCTGAGTCTGGAAAGGAGAGTAACACACTGGAAAATCTTTGCTACATAGATTAGCTCTGGATTCGATTTCTTTTTCCTGTTTTGCACTCACTTAAAATATCTCAACTTTTTTCACTTGAAAATTCAGTTTTTACCACCCCCCATTCAAAGTTTATGCCTTGAGGCTTGCCAGCAGGGCTTACGATACTTACATTAAATTAAATTTAAGAGTAAAGGTGCTCCCGCTGCTAATGTTCTTAGATCAGAGGAAGCAAAATGAAGGAACTGGCAGCTGAAACTTTAATAGTAGGAAACGTTGACTGAGAACTTGAAAAAAAATTTCCAGTTGATGTGGATGACAGAGAAGTCTTGTTCATTTCTATGTACAGTACTTTGAAATGACAAACTTGACTTTGTTGGGTAATTATCTTTTGGAATGGATTTTTCTGTCCCATGTTTAAAAGAAAGTATGCATTTTATATTGAACATAGGTAGGCACATTTTATGGGGTCAGTATTAATGCTTCCCAGTCCTGTGCTGACAGGAGGCCTAGCTACTATGACCCAAAGTCACCATAGAAACTAATCAGGTCCTTCTATTATTTGGGGAAATTCCTGACTCCACTTTTGGCCCTTTTCCTTCAGGAAACTCTCTTACCAAATCCTAGATTCCTAAATTCTGCTTTGACCACTGTCTATCCCATCAGCTTCTCCCATTCCCTTAAAAGCTCTCCCATTCCCTTAAAAGCTTCAGTCACTCACTCATCCCTGTCGTCCAGGTCTAACTCCTTCACTTTAATTTCACCCAAAGCTAATACAATTAGCATCCTAGGATTACAAATTTAGAATTGAAAGAGAAGTTAAAGACCATTTAGTCTACCACCACCTCCCTCATTTTTCAAATAGGGAAACTGAGGAGGGGCAACTAAATGGTGTAGTGGATAGAGTGCTGGCTCTGGAGTCAGGAGGACCTGAGTTCAAATGGCACTTACTAGCTGTGTGACACTGGGCAAATCACTTAACCCTGATTACCTCCCCCCAAAAAATAAGGAAACTGAGGCCCAGAGAGTTTAAGTGACTTGCCCAGGTCACACAGGTAAGGTAGTAGGTGACTGAGACCGAATTTAAACTCAGGTCTTCTGGCTTCGAGTCCAGTTCTCTTACTGTTATACCAAAGTGGTCAGTCAGTCCAAAGATTCTCACTAAAATCCTTCACCTCCCTGACCTTCTGTCCTTCACCTCTGTGCCCTTTGCTTCCTGCTTCCTTCAGGACCTAGTCGATGAATCATCTTTTTGTCCATGATAAGTCTTCTGTCAGTCTCTTTATACTCTCTCCTTCTCATTTACTTAGAAGCATGCTTAGGTCTCCCCAATCTTACAATGAGACTTTCCCTAATTCCTTCTACCAATGAAGCTACTATTCCATATTTCATCTTCTTTTTTATCACCAAATTTCTTGGAAAAAGTAATTTATACCCATTTCCTCCACTTCTGCCTTAACACAACATTTCATCTCTGGCATTTGTTCCCATTAAGCTATAGAAAGTACTCTTGGAAAGATCACAATGATGAAGATGAAGATGATGATGATGATGGTGGTGGTGGTGGTGATAATGATGGTGATGATGATGATGATAATGATGAAGATGATGATGATGATGGTGGTGGTGGTGGTGGTG